CTCCTGCCAAATCATTCCCACCAAATCCGTTTTGATACGACATCACAGCGCCCCGCAAAGTGAAGATAATCCTTGACATTTTTATCATTCACCCTCTTTTTTATTTAGTCAGTGCCGTGCAAGCCTGTCTTGTTTGCTGATAAAATCTGCCAACCGATGCAAGCCTTAGCGGATCGCACATCAAAAGGTCGGTTTCCCCCCGGAGGGTGACAAAGTGTCAAAATAATGCTCCTCTGTGAGCTCTGGGTGGCAGCCCAGTTTAAAAACTTCATTTGGTGATCGGAGCCATTTACATGTTGCTCTTGGCACACTGAAATGTGTGGATTCCTTTGTATTCTTGTTTTATTAGGTGAAAAATAGAAAGTTAACAATACAACATGATTTAAATGTTTTGTGGTTCTGTACTGAAGAGTCAAATTATACTTTTGTTATTAAAAAACAACATAAGGCTAATGTTTGCTTTGCAAACAGATACATTTTCAAGTAATTACAGTAAATATCCATCTGTTTACCCCTTTAAAAGCAGTGGATACTTTTTCAGGCCTAGAATTGTCTTGCAAGATTGGTTTGTTTGACCAACAACAGGAAGCAACATATTTTTAAGTAACCAAAAATTGATCTAATAAATATTTTGACATTATTGATTAGCCATTCTTTCATGGTTGTAACTGATGCTCTTGTTACTTATAATGTTATCTGTGCTCACACACATGCCTGTCTATTCACTGAAGTAAGAACATGCTGAACTCTTTATTTCGTATGCTTTGTTTCACTTCTACAAATGTTGATCTGGCTTTAATACTTCTGGGTTTCTACGGTGTATTGAGATAAGACTTGTTTTCCTTTTGGCTTTTCCCTTCAGCAGGGGTCACCACAGCAAGCAAACTGGCCAAAAATTGTAGTCTAGGGATTAATACACCTACACTTCTTATAACAAACAGTTATAAGGGAATTCACAGGTTCTTCTGTTTAAGGAAACCAACAATCTCTCTGTGAAAACACGAGACCACACAAATAAGTCAGACTTTAGTCAGTGAATTCAAGTTGATCTGGCCATAAACAAGATCATTTATTTATAGAATCGAAATAAATCACTAATAAATAACTTATTGCGAACAATCAAATTTTGTTGAGAGTTAAAACATCAACAACAACCAATACGCGTCTGCACTAGTTAACCGTTGAGATGACAACTCTAACAGAAACAGCAGAACTTCAGGTTTAATATCTTAATAAACCAGATGTTTGCAGGTACCTTAAACTTAGATGGCAATGTTTAAGTTTAAGAGATAGAAAGAAAGGAGGGTGTTAGCCCTAACGTTTTAGCTCATCAATATGTGAGAAAACCAGAACGAACACTTGCGTCTCTTGTTCGCTGTTAGACGGACGCTGGTACGCTTCTCAAAGCATTCAGCTTTCACCTGGAGGTGTTTTCACCATCAGGATCAAGCATTAAGGAAGTTTCATCCAGGTCAGCAAGAGATTCTGGTCAGGTTATCCTTACTTCCAGTAAAACTTCCAGTGTCTCCAGATTTTTCAGCATCTCTGGAAATCTGCTCAGGTCTGAAGAGAGTCAAATCCGATTTGGTCCACTTTCAAAATAAAAGACTTTTCAATAAAAAGTTTTAAAACTTAGTGGAGCTTGAAAGCTGGTTGTTGTGGTCATGATTGAAGGTATCGTGAGCCCAGGCAAAAGATTTGCTCATTAGCACTTGAGGTCAAATCTCATTGCCTAACGCAGTTTTTTCTGAGGAGAGAAAAACATCTTCTCTTCGTTGGATGAAGATGGTGTCTTCTGACTCTCGAGAGCTCTGCCCCAGGGTTAGTTTCTACAGAAAGAAAAACACTAAGAGATGTGGCCTCAGTGTTTGGGTTAGTCAACAGGGAGAATTTGAAGTTTAGTCTAGGGCGCTGCCAAAAGTCTACAGCCGTTTCAGTGGATGTGTCCTTGGGCAAGATGCTTCACCCACCTTGCCTACTGATGGTGGTCAGAGGGGCCGGTGGCGCAGTATGGCAGCCCCGCCTCTGTCAGCCTGCCCCAGGGCAGCTGTGGCTACAATGTAGCTTACTATCATCAGTGTGTGAATGTGTGTGTGAATGAATGATACATGAAAATTGTAAAAAGCGTCTTTGAGAGTCTTGAAAAGCGCTATATAAGACTGATGGATTATTATTATTATTATTAATAACATCTGCACCTGCATAAAAACAAGTTTGGACCTTGAGCAGGATTAATACTAAATTACAAGAAACTAGATTTTAATGAAATAGAAGTGAATTATTTAAACCAAAATAAAACTTGATATTTGTCTATGATTCAAGCACAAATACCATATATATTTCATAATAAAATATAGTGAACTAAATCATAGTGATCAATTTAGTAAAAGAAAAATAAAACAGTAAAACATATTTTCACATAACTGTCAAATAACCATCAGATATACCTCACATTTGCACCACACTAACAAAGGTTACAAAAGACTGCTCCAACAATAACTTCATGTAGTCTCTCATGCTAATCATCTGTCTTCTCTGCCATGGTATTCATGGAGTGCTGTGGTGATGAATAGACATTGCCATTCTTGGCAAATGTATTACATATATATGATGTTCATGGAGTTATGCTTGCTGTGGTGTACATTTTCCCATCTTGAAATATATGAGATGTTGTAAAAATTGTGCTTTTGTTTCATTGTTTTTGGTACCTGTTACATCGTGTGTCTGGTCACATGACATGATGTATACCAACATGTTCTACTTGTCTTCTTTTCCACAAACTGGAGCTGACAGACACTCATGTGCAAGTTGCTGTTGTGGGTTTGAGCTTGTTTTTCCCCTGAAGATGAGAACAACAGAAGACAAACTGCCAGATCAGCCTAGAGCAACAGACCAAACAAAAGAGCCAAACAATGGTGGGCGAAATCATGGCTAGATGTTGTATGTTTTGCTCGTTTCCCTTCCATGACTAAGGTTGGACACTCCATCATGGTAAGGTGTTCATCGATTGGGAAGCAGCTTAAGTTAAAAGTTAGCAGTTTTGTTTTCATTTACTGATAACAATTTCCATGATTTGGGACTTTTTAGTTAGCAGCACCTCGCTTCAGGATAATGTTGTTGCCCATGTCTGTGTGTGTATGTTTGTGTTGAAGAGTCTGACTGTGAGCAAAATGTCTTATAAACCACTGGACCAATTTTAATGAGATTGTCATTACCTAACCATTGGATGCACAGCTACTACTGGTTAACTTTGGAGTCAGTATAATTCAAGATATACCATGGTAGTACCATCACCTCACAACAAGAACAGCAGGTTTTTATACCTTCTGGAGTCTTTCTGTGACAAATTTGCATGTTCTCCTCATGCTGCATAGATTTTCTACAGGTACTCTGGTTTCCCTCCACAGACAAAATACATGCATGGTTTTCAAGTAACTTTAAATTTCCACTACTTGTAAGCAGTGGCGGCTGGTGGAGTTTTCTCCAATGGGGGTTACAACTCCAAATAGACGTATCTCAAAACGCAATCAAACATGAACTAAGTTGTTTCACACCAGTGTATTTATTAAATACATGAAAATAATAAAACAATCATGTAGTGTTTTATTTTTTGTACATAAATTTTGCTCTTCTGTTACTGAGAAGCAAATTTCTTCATGACTCTGTTTAAAGTCAGGGATGTTTTAACCAGATTCTTATAGAGCATGGTCAGTGCAGTGAGATGTGATGTTGTACCTGAGGAAAGTCTGGATTGTCTTCAGTGTTGAGAAGCTCCTCTCAGATTCAGCTGTGGTCAGAGGAGATGTGATGAGAATCTTCAGCAGAGTCACAGTCTCTGAAGGTGTCCTGCAGATTGTTCTCCATGAAGAGCTGGTACAGAGTCGCAGCACCACTGCAGCTGCTGAAATCATCCAGGTTGTAGACGAGACTTCATGGCCTGTTCATTGCAGCCTGCATGGTGGTGAACTGGAGACCTGCAGGAACCTGTCTGCCTGCAGCTCTGATCAGATGCTTGTGAATGGCTCAAGATGATGTCACAAACCTAAAAAAAAACAAATAAATGCACAAATTTAATTCAATATGGAGATGGCAACAAGTGAGCTTTCTAATTTCCAATGTATAGAAAACAATTGAAGTTCTGAATACACATGTTAATTTATTATCAACAAATTGTTGCACCTTTATTTTATATTATATTATATTACATTGTATTATATTATATTGTACCTACTTAAAGCTGTGTTCACAATTATAAAACAAAATAAGTATATTATCATTACTATGATTAAAAGCATAACTACTGTATATTATAGCACTACTATGATTAAAAGTATTACAAAAGTCTTTTTGATTTTCTCTTACCTGTTTTAATCCATGCTGGGTCAGATCCTGATGCTTGAAAAATGAGGAATGAATCAAAACAACCCATTAGCCTCACTAAAAGCAGTTAGCGTAGCCTGTTGCTAATCCAAGTCCTGAAAAAAATGGAGTGTAAACTCTCCCTCTGTTTTTGTTTTGGTGCTTTTCATGTCCGGCTGATCCGGTCCAAGCTCTTTTACTTTAAGCTTCTCCTAGTGTGTTCTGGTGTAAAACATTTATTTTTTGTTTTAAGAAACTTAGCTAAGCTGTTTAGTGCCTCCATTTCTTGACATGTTAATCTTTTCGCGTTGTATCACTCTACACCAAAACACACCCACATGCACTCACACTGGAGGCACGTTTTTGTACGTCCACAGTAAATGGCTGAATCCTGTGGCTTTGGGCTGATCCTGGGCTGAATAGAATTAGCCCCAATGAGCCTCAAACTGAGGGGGCGTGGCGAGACGCCTGTCAATCATTCTGAACCAGGACAAACGTTAAATGAAAATGGGCTGTGAAAAGGTGGCCCTGCAGAATGACCCTGGGATCTTCCCAGGTGGTTTGGCACCAGTTTTTGTTGTAAATTTCACAAAATAAGATACGTTGTTTTTAAATTGTGTTTATTTTTAAGTTGTGATTTATAAATCGTTTACAATTATATAGTTATATTGTAATTATATAATATTGTTTATTTTAACGTTTTTATTGTGAACACCAGGGAGTACTCAGCCCTACCAGTCCACTTATACCAGCCGTCACTGGTTGTGAGTAATTTAATGATTGTCTATTTGTCCCTGTGATGGACTGACAGCTTGTCTAGAGTGAGCCTTGCCTCTCCTGCAGGTTCTTCTTGAGATGAGAACCAGCTCCCAAACCTGCAAAAAACAAAAAAAAGATAAAGAGAATGGATGAATGGACGATTTATAACGACATCTTTTAGCACACACAATTTTTAGAAGTTCATTTGTGACAAAAACAATTTACCTATCAAACCAAAGCTGACCTCTTTAAAATACAGTAAATAACAGCCTTTTTTGGTTTTATCTGACATTTTGTCAAAACGCTTTATTTTGTTCAGACGGGACAAAAACAAGGTCACAGATGCAAAACTGTCTTTTTTTTTACTGCAAGTCTACTTTGTAATCCAGGTTAGTGCTGCCTGTTACATGAATGATTGTACTCTACTCTGATTAAATTATTCCTCTCTTTCCTCCATGCTGTGTAAATAATGTCAAAGAGCTTACAAGTCAGTTTTTGAAACACTGTAAACTGTTGACTCTTTTTGGCTCATTAAAACAGAGACAAAACCTACAGTTTGTGAAAGAGAGTAAAAGAAAGGAGACGATTAGTAAAAGCTGAGATTTGTCACTCTTTGCTTTCCTGTAGCAATGCATCCATTGTTCTGTGCTGGTTCATTGGAATAAACAGTGGCCAGGCTTTGGTTCAGCATTTTACAGCAGAGAGAACAACACAATAAATTTACAGTCACAAGGGAGTTTTTTGTTATAGGCACTCTACTCTGCTAAGGCAATAATTCTTTTGGTCTTACTTTCTTCTGAAATGTTTGCTGAAGCAGCTGGCAGGGCTCCGTACTCAGCCTGACAAGCTGCTTTGAAATACCAATCACTGAGTTTATACAACAGGGAGGACTCGTAAATATGTCGCGCAGGGAAATATACAACGCCATACTTCAATTTTTTCTGGTAAGGAAGGAGAGTAATGGTCTCAGTGGTGTATACACTGTACAGGTGATATCATATACGCTCATTCTTGTTCTGAAAGCCATTTATCACACATGACAGTAGAGGAAAGTGCTAGTTGTATTATCCTTGTGACAGTCCCCACATACCAGCACCACCCACATAAATACACAAATGTACATGGATACATAAGACACCGCAAACCCATGCATGCTGGCTGCGGCAACGCTTTGAGTAATTTACAACAACATGTGGCAGGAAGTGAGTGAAGACTTACATTTTACCCACAGAAACACCTCAAAGTCTAAGGTTTTCTAGACAGATGTGTTGGGCTTTTTGCCTGCAAATGTAGATTTC